CTGACTACAGGACAGAAAGAAGCTGACAGTGCAGATGCTGTTAGTAAAGGTCCAGCCCATCCCTGAAAAAGAAGAGCAGCCCCTGCACAACAGCAGAGAGAGGGCCATGGAGCTCACCAGTGGCCTGCTGCTTTAAGCGTTAATGCCCAGTCACATTAGCAGCATCCCAGGCAAGCTTTTCCACTGGGAAGCTATTAGATGAAATCAATTCTAAGCATTTTTACTTCCTGCCTTTGAATTTATTACTTCCAAATACCTGAACAACCAAAAGCTTTATGAAGCTAGGAGCTGAAAGAGAGGCTTGTCACTCAGCTCCTGAGCAGGAGGAAGAGAAGAGAGGGACTGCTGCTTTAGCTTCTGGGTTCCTCCATGGCTTCTCATGTCTCCACTCTGCCTAGCAGCTGCACAGACAACAGCAGAGGGGCAGGTAGGAAAGGGCCTGCACCCATCTCTCCAACGGGGCCTGAGCATCCAGAGTTAACAAAACTCAGAAGAAGAAGAAAATAAACAGATCTTCCTCCCCAGTGATAAGAAGCTGATGTGTTTGGAGCTAAAGGGTGAAGGACTGCTTGGGGTGGTCTAAGCAGCTTCAAAGCAAAGTCTAAGCCAACAGCTGACTAAGCAGAGAGGAATTCTTTTGTGAATCGAGAGCTTGGAAACACTGTCTTGCCGGCAGCACTATTTTGACTGGAAAGCTCTGGCCAAAATATCTTGGACAACAAAACAAAACTAGATTATGCTGTAAATATTAAAAGCTTTATAGCTGTTTGTTTGTGCAATAAATTCCTGGAAAGTCCCTTGACCTTAACGTAGGGAGGAAAAGATCAGAGAAGAAGAAGGAAGTAGGGAAAGGAAATAATTCATTTTGGAGATTATTTATTACATTCTCATCCTTTTCACTTTTATAACAAGTTATACCAACTTCCTCACAAGAAACAAGCAGTCAAGAGCTATGCCAGAAGATATGAAGACTTCTGCATGTTCAATGGGACTTTGAGTGGGCTTGGGGAAGAATCACAGCTAGAGCTGTGTTATGCTTAAGAAAGCCTTTGTCCAAGTTCTGTGGAAAGAAATTTAAACACCATAGTTGCCCTACCAGAACTACAGCCCCTACTTCCTACTATCATATAATGAAATCAAATTAACTTTTTTTAGTAGCTGGTGAAGTCTGGCTGATCATTTCACCTGGGTGAAAATCCTTCCTTTCATTATCATTCATGAAGTTATTTTGCATAAGGTTGAAAAAGGACTTTTGTATTTTGGTTTGGGTTTTTTTTTTTTTGGGGGGGGTGTTTGTTTTTTTTTTTTTTGTTCTGGGTTTTTGTTTGTTTGGGGTTTGGTTTTTTTTTTTTTTACACTTTACACAAAAATTTACAGCCCATTTGTGACTACTTGGCATTATTAACATTCTCACTGGAAGTATAAGAGGATTTCATTAGAAGCATTTGCACTGATGTGAGATGGAAGAGGGAACATGTTAATACGGAACACTGAGAAGCATGGGATTACTTGGAAAAACCATTAAATACCTGTATGAGGTTAGACTGTGGTATTTTCTATGGCTCTCAGTAAATATTTCCCCAAACAAAAAAGCCTCTAAGCAAAGGTCACAGGGGTCTGGAGGCTCATTACCTGCAAAGCACTCCCAAAATATATTAAAACACACGGTAGCTGAGTGCCAGCAGCAAGCACAGCCCCCTGCTTCATCACAATCTCATCAGGTCTGCTCCGCAGATATGTTTCAACAGTTCTTGTTCTGGCCCATCCATACTCAAAGAGAGCTACACTTACAGAAGAGGAAAAAAAAAAAAAAACACAAAAAATAAACCAAAAAAACCTCAAAGAACTTTGCTGAGAGTGGCACTGTATCTTGGACTTAGCTGTCCTCTAATTCTTTGGCTGCTGCCAAGCTGCCACCATGCTCGATAAACTTCCATCCTCACCTCTGCCCAGGGAAAAAACAGAAATTGTAATCACAGTTCTGCTTGTAAATCAGCACTGTCCAGCATTTGTTTTATGGTCAATTCCTGTCTCCATACCCAGGTAACAAATCATATTATCACCTAAGAAAATGTATCTTTGCCCTGTCATCAAAAAATATATTAGGTTAATTCCATAACCACTTAAGGGGGAAAGTCAGTGGCTTTACATCATCCTGATCAGATGAGGTGGCCACACAGGGAGGTTTAAAAATAAATGTTCACATCTATTCTATGTCATGCTAAAACAAACATTTCTCCCACTGGCAGGAACTGGAGGACACCCAAAGGTCTGGATTTTTTTCCTCCACCAAATATGTAATCCTCATTTTATTTCCTACTGGCAAAGTATGCATAACAGAGAACTGCTGCCTGTTTCATATTTAGTACATGTAGAAAAAATCCCAACTCTAAGTGATATTGGCCCAGTAATATTGGTTTTAAATTTGACTTTCCACTTCTGGATTGAGTCGTGAGTAACCCAAACTAAGCAAGCTTTTGGACCACTGTGGGAATGACACAATCTCACGAGCAGTTACTGACTACCAAAAGAGAAGGCAAAACTGGCACTTGCCAGAGAGCTGGGTTAACAACGCGCAGGCAACGGGATAAAGAGGGGCTACTATTTTAAACTGATGCAGCAGCGGTGTAGGCAGTAGAATTTGGTGAAATTATATATTGACAGGAGCTCTTGACTGCTTTTGTCAGGCTTCTTACAGCTCAAGTTCCATGTGTGGAACTATATATAACTACTTTGAGTGACTGCTTGTTTCATATTCCAGCACCACACAAATGTAGCAGTAGCAACAAATGGGAATGTAGCACTTGTGTGGGTTGTTTTCTCTGCAGTTAGTGCTACACAGCTGAAAGAGTGTTCAACACAACACAGACCCATACATTCAGCTTAGCCTGGCCCCTCTTCCTTCATTCTCCAAACTGAGCCTTTTTGAAGTGCTCTTCCTACATTTTAGTTTAAGTAGGCAGCTTTCTTGAGAGCTCTTGTCCATTCTAAAACCTTGAAGCCTGCAAGATGACAAAAGCATTTCTATGCAGTTGCCGGCAGCGGCCACAAAGAGCGTGTGCTCCGTAGCCACAGCACATACAAAGGAAAACTCAGACTAAAGAGAAGAAATGAGCCACAGCTGTACAGTGGGACAAAGTCAGTTTACTCCAAAGCACTAAACACATATTTCCAATTGGGCACAGGCATTTTGAACTCTGAGAGGGTGGCACTTGCACATACAGTGGAAGCTGGGGAAAAAAAGTTATCTGAGTCCAGAAGCCACAAGCACAAGCCAGCACACATCCTCCTCCAAAATGGCAATCCTGCTGTCAAAGGCAGTTCTGAGAACGCATGCACACAAGAGCCTTGCAGCTCAGATCATGCAGAAGAGACTCCAAAAATTTACTGATGAATGTAGAAAAGCTCTTGAGAAAGTAAAACCTGTAAAAAAGGTGAGCTGAATTTATCATCAAGGTCAAAGTTTAAGCCTGATGGTGGATTTAACTTCACCTACTCAGGGTATGGCTGCAGCTATAGAGTAGTTTATGAAGACTGCCTGTTGGGAATGCAATAAAGCAGGACATAAGATTTGGACCAAAAGAAAACAATTTTTGTGAAAAAAAATGCTTTTATCCTCTCCAATTATAAAGCTGGTCCTCACCATCAGTTTCCTGGTTTGGCCAAGTTTTAGAATTGCCCTCTCCCCCTCCCCGCTTTTTCTGTTAAGTGAGCACCCAGCTTATGGAATAAGTTGTTTTTAAAACAAGCCCTGCTTAGGACGAAACAAAAAGTTATCAGTTCATTTTTTAGCATAAAATCAATATAATACAGTACTCTTGTCACCTCTGTTGGCCAGCCAGAAGTCAAACACTGAATAATTTCATTATGCCTAATATTATCATTATTCCATAATATTAGGGGAAACACATTGCTTGAAGAATCACCTTGAACTCTGTCTCTATAAGTCAGCCCTATTCATTTTTATGTCTTATTTCCTCTTCCTCATTACCATCTAGAATAGCATTCTCTTGCAATTGATTATGTAAGGGAACACACAAGGAATTGGCTTGCAAGTATTCTGCAGACTAAATGGAAGGCTGCTCAATATTTCTGAAGTGCACATTCCTGAAATCTCAGCATACATATATGCAAGAGTGCCTTTTCTATTATTTTTGTGGGTTTTACAATCTTTTCTAATTAACTGTGTTGTTTTGCTACCTTGACAGAATGTCCAGAGTATTATGGAGTACTGTACCACAACAGGATATTTGGATACATATGTTATACTCATTAGGGAAGTCAACCTTGCCATAGTTTTTGTTATAACAGATACATGTACTTCAATGCCAAGAGACAAGCCAAGTTGTTGCATATTACACTAACTTGTTACCTACATTTTTCTCAGATTAAGCCAGAAACATATCAACATCTGTGATTGGTTCCTAGATAAGTGGGTCTTTCTTTTAAACACCCCAAATACAGAACACCCTCTATATTCACTATACACGGTAAGAAATTAAGCAATCAACATCTTTCACAAATTTAACCTCTTGGACAAAGATCTGAGAGTTCAGACTTTTCAGATGTTTCCCCTCACTTTCAATTAATATGGTAGAAAGAGGACTAGCACAAGAGATGGGTATTCCACAAAGATGGGGCAGATATCACCTTCTCTGAGATTAAAATGCAAAAGGAACGATCTGAAAAATATGAATTTTTAATACCTCTCCAGTAGAGCTTCTAACAGGAGAGCTGTTACTGTAAAGAAGAAAAATACCTACACTTTGGAATGTTGCAACATGCACTGCTATGCGTATTTCCCACATCATAAACCATTCTCCCAGACCAACAGTAGCATATCTCCCAAATGGTAACAATAGTACTACATGATCTGTGCCACTCTGTTATTTGGTAAGCAACAGCTGGTTAATATTAAACATTGTGCACAGACATCAAGAAAGGTGAGGTACTTGTATTTTCCCTCTCATTTGGTGTTCATGCAGTGAGGAACTTCAATGTTTCTCTGAAACAAAAACGTAGGACTTTATTAGATGCCACTACACATCTGCAGCAGCTTATTCAACCAATTGCATTATCACCCAGTGGCAACAGCACATACACTTGCTCTCAACACAACACTGAGCCTCCCTCTAGATGGGAGTCGGAGTCCCCACTTACTTCATCAGCCCTCTTTGGAAAGAGCTTTCTAGCATTATTAACATTCCGTAACAAATACAAAAGGAAAGGAAATACAAGATACATGCTTCCTTCTTTGGTAAAGAAATCATCTGGACACCATTTGCACACACCTGAGCCAAAAAAGACACTTGCTTAATGGTCACCTCCATTTTTAAACCATGGAAAACCAGACATTAAAGATGAGCAAAAATTCCATTTTAAAGTCTTATTTAGACAAGATCCCTGACTCTTATCTTGTTGAGTAATTGTGATTTAATTTAAAACAGTTCGGTCAGTCAGTTTGGGGCTCAGCTATACTACACCACAGCGCCTACACCAATGGCAGTTTCAGCCCTCATCTCAGGGGCAGGACCAAACTGTTCTAGGGTTCAACTGTACTCAGCTGTATTTGTCCATGCCTCTAGTACAGACTGCCATCTGAGGGAGTGGGGAAGAGTGGCATTAAGACAGACATAATCTGCTTTGATGAGAAAGGTTCAGGCCAGCCCCCAGCTAAATCACCAGTGAGTCACAATCAAACATAATTGAGAACTGAATTTAACACACTGTCTCTGTGGGGTGTAGCACGTCATAAGCTTGTTGCAGAATGGCCTCATCTTCACAGCCAGGCTTACGGTATGTTTTAACATACCCTAAATAACTTCTGTTATCACATACAATTCCTGCCCCAGTCCAAACTAGCATTTAACCTTCCTTTTTCCCTCCCCACCTGTTATTAAGTATAAACTCTTCATCTTTTCAGCAAGGCCAAAGGAGTAAAGGCTGTTGGCAATGTATCATCTAAGAAAATAGTTAGTCTTATTAAGCAGGGAATGCAAAAGACTTTTTCTTTTCATTTGACTAGTCTGTGCCCAGTACTGCAGTACAGGAAGGTACAAACTGTATCTGTTTAAGTGTAAAAAATATATACAACTGTATTTAACATTTAAATTAAACACAACTGTTTCATACCAACAATCTTATGTACATTCAGTTTTAAACAATACCTCTTTAATATCCTCTTCTTTTGTTAAACAAGTTTTATTTTCCTCCCAAAATACCCAATGCTACTTTAAAATTCTGGAGAGGAGAAAATCTGAGCTATATAGAAAATAGCAAGAGGTCTTACAATTGTAATGTATTAGCACATATTTTTCATAAACAATACGTAATTCAAAATCTGAACCACTATAAAAGTTCTTGTAAGTCCAACAGGACTGCCTTTAAAAACTGACTTTGGTTAACAGCAAATCATTCTTAAACAATTAAGGAAAAATATATATTCTTTTACCACCTCTACAGATGCATTTCCGTGTTATGTTGTAGCAATCCATATATCTTTACGGATGAGAACTATAGTTGCTCAGCGCTCTTCACCTGTACTGTGATTTCAGTAAAATGTGTTATATATCAGGTTGGATTGATTTATAGTTAAATTAGTCCAACTTCTTAAGATCTCTGGGTAAGAGAACTCTTTTCCTAAGACTTCCTAACATCTCTGGATATCAGAGGAAGAATGGCAACACTACTACTTCCTCACAAGGCTGATCTCGTGCAGTACTTGCAATAGCACTGCTAAGTTGCATGAAACTGCTGTTTTCCTGCTTGTCTTTCCTGGTCAGGAGAATAACACGACTTTTGCTGAGCTCTACATACTCTGACACCCAGCCAGTCACACCAGCCCCTAAGAATCCAGGCAACTGAAGTGCCACTGGACTTTACAGTAATGCAATGATTTCCTCTGAGTCATTATGCATGTTTCAGGTCATGCATGGCCTCTGTATCACTGAAATTTTACTCATTTCCAGGGGAATAAATGCCCTCAGCTTTTGGCCAGGAAGAGGAACGTGATCTGTATCTTTCTTCCCTCCTTGTACTACAAAACCCTCTGATCCATCTAAAATCACCAATGAAAAGGCAAAAATCTAAGATTCTCCAGGAAAAGAACACCACATTAGTCACTATGCACCAGTTAAGCTGAAAAGTAGAGAAGTCTGACCGATGAGCAAAGGCACTTGGTAACAGTCCTGTGAACAACAGTCAGTGAGTCAACAGTTTCAGTCTTGTGATCCAACTGACCAGCAGCGAGGGCTCTGTGGAGGAAGATTTTGTGGATGATGTAACAGAAGATTTTTTAGCACCTTCCTCTTGAAAAGGAATTGTTGCACTGTTGTGGAGGTCTGCATTCATAAAACATCTGCTGCCTCGAATATAATCTGTTCCCCTCACTAACTGCTTCTCAGAGACTGGCCTTGAGAGAGGGTGTTGTGTGGAGGTGCTTTCTTCAATGATTGGGGGTATCCTTTCATTACTGAAGTACCTGCAGAGGGCATCTTCACCTGCACAAACAGGAGGAAGAAAACTAATTACTGCTGACTTCAAAATCCTCCATTAACATTTTCTATTTTGATAAAGAGATTCTGGTTGCAGTTCAAATTACCTAGATTTTGGTTACCCTTCTAAACACACCTCGACATAAGCAGCTATCAACAGATATATGGCTTTTTGCATCTTTCATATTTTAAGCAACACAAAGAACAACAAAAATCAACTCACACATAGACAATACCATTTGGCTGTTAAATTACAAACCTGCTAGTGCAGACTACCTTCATGTACATAATTATCATGAGCAAGACCCAATAAACCTTCTTGTAATGTGTCACTGAATATGCTGATAGACCAGAGTTCAATCTATGTTTACCTGCATGTTACTCATGACTAACTTAAAAGCTACAGATATTACTCTGGACACAGAAATTAATTTTGCAGATAAAGATGTAAGCACTTCCCTGGTTTTGACCTTTGTTTCTCTGGTTTTACTCTTCCCTAGACAACTGTCCAGAGCAGCTGCTAGAGACATCCTACTGGGCCAGACAAGTCTTTTTTCTGACCCAATACAGCTTACACACAAGCCCACAGCACTTAAGTACATTTCAAGTGCTAAGAACAGCCAACACAAAACTAAAAGCAAAACCAACCAAGAAAAAAAATACCAAATCCATACACACAAAATCCAGCCCTGCCACCTGGTGATCATTCTCTTAGACCTGTTACTTAGCTTGCTTCCAATATCCCTCCAAGTTGAAGTTTCTTGTTATCAGCTTCTACGTTGCCTAGAATTACACATTAGCTTTCGATAACAGATTTCAAGAATAAAGTAAATACTCATCCTTTCTTATTTCCCACTCTAACAGGACTTGTAGACTTTCAGATGCAAAAGGAAGCCAACGAGATAAGTATGGGAATGAAAAAAGCCACCCAACCTAACACCCAATGTTATGAGCTTCTGTCTGCCATTCTGTGTCATCTGCAAAACATGTTAATTTCTAACAGCAGGTGCAGCAAAAAAACAACTCCTAAACATTTCACTTTTAAGAATGAGCTTGCTTCCACAACAACCTCCACAGTGAGCTAAACAAACAAAGATTTAACAACAAAGCAGTTTTATGATCAATATTAAATGAAGAAGAAAGGGAAAAGGGTGTGTGTTCACAAGAACATTAAGACAAGACAACAAAAGCTTGAGCCCCAGCACTGAGTAGCCTCACAAATTTCACAACTACCATGCAGCATTCCTACTAAAATCAACAACTCTTGTCTTGGATCAGTTCAGCAATATGCAAACACTAATTCTTCATTCCTAATTTAAACACTTCCACCCAGTTCACCCCAAAGAAATTTTGGAGATGAATGAAAGAGAAAGAGGGACAAGACTGAAAACCTTGCCTTTTCTCCCTGGTGCTCGTGGCCTAGAGAAGGGCTCTGCAGCTCCTACCCAGCTCCCATCAGCAGGCATTGACAGAGGACGAGGTTTTCCTGAAGGCAACATAGAAGGTTATGAGGAATTACATTAAGCTTAGGAAACCAAGTTTTAAAACTGTACTTTTCACAATTAAGCAAAGGGAGAGATACAACAATAAAGAGTTAAAATTGCAAGGGGGGGGGGGGGGGGGGGGTATAAAATCAGAATACTTCCAGAGTTGAAATATAAGAAAGCAATGTGCTGAGATTGAACAACCAGACTCTTGCTCATTTACTGCAACAGTGAACATAATAACCAAAAGTTATATTCAAAATACACATGGAAATGGCCATCTGTAGCAGCAGACCCCAGCTGAATGACATTCATTAAAGAAATAATGGCATCTAAGTGAAATTATTTCAGATGTTTCATTATTTTATTCACAATTTGCACAGACTGCCCGTAACATCCACAAAACCTAACACGCAGTTTTCTAAAACTATTCCAAACTGACTAAAGTGTTTATCATAACAGAAATGACAAAAGAAGAATGAACTCACCATAGGATTGTGTTTTTTCCCTCATCTTAGCTGGTAGAATATTTGCTTCGATGGGATACACAGGCAACTGATTTGAATCAGCAATAGTAAACCTTCGCCTTCGACTCTCCTGATCCAGAAAAGAATTGGGGGACTCGGCACCCTTGGACCCAGGTAGTGGCTGACTGGGTTTGTTGCCTCCTCCGTACACAAAACTCCCTTTTTCATCTCTGAAAGGACATTTCACTTCAGTTAGTAGCTTAAAAGAGTTTCATGCTACAGACACAAATGAGTTTGGAAGATACATCTAGCACCTAGTCATGCTCCTGACAACTGATATTGGGCTGCAAACAAGCTGAAAAAAAGTAACCCAAGTCAGGTGATAGATAATTTCGTTATAACACACTTACCAAGGAGAAAAGAAAGCTCCCCCCCATGCTAACTCACTTTTAATGACCCAGTAATTTAACACACAAAGAAGTTTCAAGGTACCATCCCTGAAAAAGCTTTTGAGAAATAAAATCTTTCTGCCCTGAGAGTACTAATGCTCCCAATTTGCTGCCTGTTAAGTACACAGTTGCAACAGAAGAGTGCATACATAGACTTACTCATCTCTGTGTAATGGCAACACTTACTGCCTCCCTCTGAGGGACTCTGCTTTTCAGTCATTGTAAGAGGCCAATAACTGCCACTGAATATTTATCACCTCCTCTCTTCATCCAAAAGTGAGACCCCCTCCAGAGTTTCAATAATAAATTCATAGTGTATGTACACTGTGCCTGTATTTCAAGCAATTTCTGCAGGAACTCCTTTCCCAGAGCAATTCCATGTTCCAAAGGCCAAGAACAGCCAATTTTAGAACCAGTACTTCCAAGTACTTTTAGAAAAAAACCTGCCCTCCAGATTAGGATTTGGTTTAGATTTTTCCCCCCGTTCCCCGTGCACGCTACAATCTTAATGCTTAAAGCAATCACCAGCCAAGTCAGGCATAAAAATACACAGCAGACTGTCTAAGCACATGCATGCCCTGCTATTCACTACAGCCCCCTTGGCACTGCATACTCCAGCTCTCCATCAACAACAATGCTAGAGCTCGGTGAAGGGAAGGAGCTATTTATGGAGATTCAGGGACTGAGAATTGCACAGAAGCGTTACATCACAACCATATGTATTAGGAGAGCTCTCCTACAACACCACCACGTGGAGACTATGCCACAGGGAGGGAAAACCAGCCACTGCTCTCTGCCTTCCCAGTGTGAACCAGAGAAAAACCATGCAAGGAATGGAAGAGAACAGAAGAGGACAATGGCAGGGAAAATGGTGAGAATTGCCACACGAATACATCAGTGTCAAGAGAAGAGCAAAACATGCAGAAGTGAAATTAAATAGCCAAACAGAAGACAGAAGATCTGCCCTTTCTCCTCTTCTTTGCTGCCACAGCTTCCCCACATTTGATTTTTTTAAAAGCCTACGTCAAGAAGCCTCCCCCTTTCCACACACCATCCAGGACAAGTTTTATCTTGCATTACTAATTTTTTCCATGTCAACAACTATTCAGGTCTAAAGGCATCTGAAACTACATTTAATTTTGTGACTTTTTTTAATTCACCGATGCACCTGAAATATAATATGAAGACCAAGATATGCTCAACTCAGCTGCTAAAGCTATATGCTTGATTTTATGGCAAGACTTTGGTTGGTTGGTTTTGTTCTTTTAAGAAATGAGCACACATAAACTTGGAAAACAGGGAGACAACAGGTCAAAGTGGGTCCAACTTCAGCAAGGAGACCCTACCCTGGAGAACCCCTCAGTGCCAGCACTGCCTCAATGACTACAGTAATGCAATCTCTGACACTGTACCAGGCCTTAAATGACAGGAGGCAAGCTCTCCTTTCATAAGAGTCCTGAAGCAAAGGGCCATAGTTTCTGTGTTGGGCTATCTACATGTAACTTAAAATGTCAGGCACAGGCCAGGAAGCAAGAAAGAGGCAAAACGCTTTTGTCCATCGCCTTTCCATGTCAGCTGGCAGGGTTCTGGCATGATTCAACAAGGACTTGAGAACAAACAAAAGCTAGCCATAGCATACACATGCCACACACCCCTCACCCTCCCCTTTTTGCCTTGTGTGTACACAGGTTTGTGTTTTTATAGCTTACACTGAAGTATAAAAACAAATAAAAGCTGAATGAACTGACCCTCATTTCCCTTCAGTGGGAACATTCCTGGTTTATACAGCTTGCAAGTTTAACAATTTAGAACTTTTCTCTCCTAACTCCCAGAACAGTTACTTAACTTGCTAAAAAAAAACCCCAAACGACTAAACACATACACACCACAGTGGAAAAAGTTACAGACAAAAATCTTATTGCTATGTGCAATTGGATTTAAACAAAACCAAAAACATAACCCCACAACCAGGGATGACATCCATTCATGATTTGGGAACAACTCCGACTGACACAGCACATGATCTTCTAATAATAAAATCTATTACAATCCTGGTAGTTTATGCATTTAAACACCTAGAAGTCTGGGAGATCTGCAGTTTCCTCAAGCTCATCCGCACAGAACTCTAGCAGCAAGCCAGCTCAGAAACAAGTGTAATAAAGGAGTTTTTTCTTCAGTGGTACATGTTTATTTGCATACCGAGGAGAATATGGAACAGCTGGTGGAGGTGGTATGTACAGATCCAAAATGGCTGGCTTCTCTTTTTTCAGTGAGGTATCCACGGTGCTTTCGGGTGACTGGGTTGAAGGACTCGTGATTGGCAGAGGACTGGTCTGAAATGTGAGACAGCTGTCAAACATCTGAGCACTGATATATCATTCTCAAAGAAAACTCAATAATCAATAGTACCATTTTATCTCCTAGTGAGCTACTGTTTCTATGCTTAAGAAGTGCATTAAAAACTCTTAGCATTTACATTTTCCTCCACCCTCAGTTTTGGCTAGCTTTGCAGTTCCTCCTACAGAAATCCTATCATGGATAATGCATCGCTCAAGAATATTTTGCTCTTTCCAATCCTATTTTTCTTGTAAATTCCACAGACAGAAAAAGCAACAAAGACGAAATTCCGTCTTGTATTTTTAGATTCATTAAAAGAATGCAATTTGTTAAACACAGATACGATCCACAACACTTATGAAGCCAACTCACACTACTCTTATTCCAAACAGTCCTAATAACTGGGGCACAGGCAGGAACATGGTAAATTTCACCACAATTTTCATCAAGGGGTATAATCAGGGTAAGAGAGGCAAAGTAAAAATATATTCAGTATTGCTCATCTGAGCATGTTTGCCATTTTGCTATTTGTAGCTCACTTCTATGTCCCCGGCATCTTTCCAGGCTCTTGTCTGCTTCTAGGAGAGAAAAGTCTTGAAGAACCCTTTCACCTTTGTTAGGCTAGAGAACTACTTGCCCCTTTTTTTCAAGGAGCTGCCCAGGATTCCACTCTGGCCACTCACTTAATGGCACCCCTGCACAAGCATCTGCTTTTTACTGATCAGTACATCGGAGTCCAGAACTGTCAACAGGCTTCGCCAATCACTCATTCCCCTAAGGAAATGCTGCTGGGCACAGCCTATATCCCAGTGCACCTCAGCTCTCCACACAGGTAACACAGTCCTTGCTTTGGGTAACCCTTGAAAACTCACAAGGTGGTGCTTTTTTAGCTTTGGCTCTGATTAAACGACAGACAATCCCACAAACACAAGACACAGGCATTGGTGAAAGGAAGGACGAAAAAAAGGAGTCAAGTGAGCATCTTCTAACCGGTCTGAGAGAAATCTGCCTGCATCAACACTTGTGACAGCCATTGGCATTTCACAGATTGATAAAATTATCCTCTCAGGGTTAGGGAGACCTTTGTCAGAACAGAAGTAGGAATAGGAACTCTCCCTGGTTTTCTTCAGATAATCAGCTTAGATTTAATTAGGTCATTTCCTTCTGTAAGCATTAAGCCCTAAGCTTCCTAATACAACAAGCCATTCCTCGGTATGGTTAAGAGGAATTGATGTCACTTTCTCTGCCTGCTCACTACCCAATCTGTGAATTGCCCAACAATCAAATCTTATTTAAACAAGTAGTTTAACTTCTTGAAGAACACTTTCCCACCCTTCACCAGACTAAAAAGAGAATGAATATATAGAATAATCTAAGTTATTTCAGCAAAAACATTAACTCTGCTAAACAGAAGAAGCATTTATTACTCCATGCTGATGAATTCCATACTTATCAGTGGCTTCAACAGTTTTGCCTCACAGAAGTTCTGCCAGTGGCACAGATTGATTAAAATGTTCAACACACCCAGTTGCTTTGTGTATCAAGAAGGCATTATCTGGGTTTAAAAAACAAATAAAAAGAGAAGGGAGGAGGCAAGAACATTCTCCCTTTTATCTAGGGGCCAGAAGAGGACAGCTATTTCACCTAACCTTCCTTGACCTATAGTTAAACATGTGTACCTGGGAACATTTCTAGTATTTCTCTTTTTTCAAGTTGTAACCAAGGCATTCCTATCCCAGTATCAGAGTTGAGCCATCAGCCTCTCACCTGCACCAAGGGTGGTTTCCAACGCAGGTTCTTTAACGGAGCAGGAGTGAAATGGAAAGAGCCAGTAGGACGTTTCTTAAGCAGCAGCCTAACTCCAGCAGGATTCTCTCGCAACTTTGCCACCAGATTTTTTAGTTGCCATCCAACCTGGAAAAGAATAAAAGACATGTTTTCTTTTGTATTGCTTTTCTGAAGGCAAATAACCCCAAATCTCCCAAGTCAAACTATCTTTTAACATGAACTTAAAGAGAGAAACATCCAAAAAAGCCAGAATGAAAAAATAATTGGAAAGCTCCTTTTTTTTTTCAAAGGTTGTTCTTTTGTTTCAAAGGGAGACCTCTGCTTAAGCTGTAAATTAAATGCTGAGATATCAAGCAATGCTCTTTATATCTCAGTTCCAGTCATAGAAGGATGCATGAACGTGCTCAGATTGAGTAACACAGGCAATCACAGTGAACTGTCACATTTCTTTCTCACATTGAAAGGCATTCCTTACTTTTGCTAAGTAAAAATGTAATCATTTTATGTAAGTTCCCAGATACAAACAATTTGACAAATCCTTGAGTTTTTTAAAGCTTTTATCTGCATTTCAGTAGATTGTAACAGTGTATTTTAAAACAGGCCTTAAATATAACATGAATTATTTTATTATGATGCACACATTTAAACATGAAATATGGCACATTTATTTTAGCAAAATATTGCAAAGAATAAAATCTGTCTTGAAAACAGAGTGTTAAAAAGCCTCAAAGATTTCAATAGGAAAACCCCAGAACCACCTCATAACCCCATCCATTCAGAAACTTTAGGGAGCAAACTTTCCAGAGCAAGAATAAGGGAAGGTTGGTAAGGCTGTTACTGACCACAGTTTGACGATTAACCTGGATCACTTCATCACCAGCATGAATCTTCTGAGATCGATCAGCAGGGGACTACAGAGGAAAACAAGAGATGTGTGTTTCAGCAGGTTTTTTTCCCCTCCCATAGCACCCCCTCACCAAGCAAAGTCAAAGGTTGTATCTATAATGAAGATCACACATTAGATTTGTTGATAACGCAAGAATTGCAAATGAATTCAACTTATGATTTATTTTTTATACTGAAAAAACTACAGGGAAAGGGAGAAGGCACAGCCTACGTCTGCCGCAGGCCAAATGGCACGTAAGTCATGGGACTGTCTCCACTGTCCTTTTGTCTCCAGTTTGTACTGTAGTTTGAGACAGCAGTGGGAGACGACAGAAGACTTCTGTCCTAATACAGCAGCTATCTTAAAATTTTAGCTTTCAAATATATGTATACCAATTAAAAAAAAAAAAATACTGTAAGACTTTGAATGTACAAAGGACCGAAATATTCCAAGACACAAAATAGATCCATTACACTTTCCCTTTTTGTTCCCCACTGTAAATAAGAGCTACCAAGTTTAATGTGAAGTTACCTGCCTGCATCAAGGTCAACAGATAAAAATATATGCTTGCACACATCAAATGTGCATAGATACATATTTTAAAAATACCTATCTAGTAATAATAATTCACCTTAAAATATCATTTTCTGTGAATAAAAACCAAGCTCTAGGGAACCATTAGTGAGGAACAGCTAAATGTGTCAGTACAACATACCAGCTCTGATCAGCCTTGGCAACACCCAAAGCGCACAGGCATCCTACCTGGGTATATTGTACCCTGGTCAGAGGACAACTTCTCCTCCCATTTCCCCCGCCTCATGAGTAACCACATGGCAGCAGGCCATCTTTTCCTAGTGATTCCAGGACTAAGCACTTGGGTTCTCCTTGTCATCATACCTTCAGAGCTCAAGTAACATTTTTATTAGAAGGTACTTTGGAATAAACAGTGCAACTAGGGAAGAAAACATGGGGAAATTTGTGGGAGGCTCCAGCTATCATGAGTAACCCCATTTCTTCATTGTCTTCTTGCTTCCTCTGACAGGAAATGCTTCTGTGGAAGGCTGCATATATATGAGTCAACCAAGATCATGAAAAAATGCTTGGCCAAAGTCAAGCTCGTGAAAAACAAAGCTCATTTCAAGCTGTCCTTTAGATGATCAACAGCCTGTCTAGGGAGGGTAGGGGACCCTTACACAGAGGACTCCTAGAACAAGCACCAGCTAGCACAGCAGACACTGCAATTGTGTTGTGAGAACAGAGGAAAGAGCAAAGTTTACATCTAGGGCAACGTGACACAGGAAGTTACAAGTAGAACAGCACAACTCAGGAATCCTGTTGGCTGACTGGTATTAAATGCATGGACTTTCCCAGTCCTTCCAACGTACACTACTATTAATTTTGGGGTGCAGTTCCACTGCATTCCAGCACACTGGCCCCTGGTGATTGCTACTAAAATATCATTCCAAACCTAGCAAGAAAATTGAACTAAGACCCAGCCTGGCACATCTAAATAATTGCATGCCACCAGAAGGACACGAGTTGTTTGCAGATCTCAGTCACTTGTCAAATTTTTTGCCTCAAAGTAATGAGCTTCCCTAAAGGAAGAACCAGGGCTGATAAGAAAGCAGATATTTAGGTTAACATTCAAAGCTATAGAAGCAGTACAGCTCAACTCCTGGCCTCCAAAATGAGATCTATATGCACAGGCAGCTTGTCAGCTGTCAATATTACATTCATTCATCTTATTCAGATGTTGAAATTGCTGTCAAAGTGGACTTTGCTGCAGATCCTACACAACTATGCAAGGGCAATAACACAAAAGCTGGAAAAGCTTTCCATTTTCACTCTAAGCTGCAAGCACAGACTTCCACTCACTCCTCCCTGGCCCCTGGACCTGGCAGGGGTACAACCAGAACCACTGGTTCTTTCATGTTCAGAAAAAAAAATAAAAGAAAACAAAAAAAAAAAGAAAAAACAAAGGCACTGCTGCAAAAGCCAAGATCCCTCACTCTTGTTTCTTTCAGCCAATGCTCCTGTAGAGTGGCATGTCTGACAACACCGCAGCATCACCCGCCAGTCTCAGCTGCTAGCCAGAGGTCCACTGCAATGACTGCCCAGAAACCTTTAATAAAGTCTCAGCTACAGAGAACTCCCAGTGTAAGAACAAAATAAGCAGCCATCTGCCTCAATCATTTCCTTCCAGCAGACCACTTAAAGTCTTACTTTCTCTTGGTCTTTTTATTCTGCAAGGTAATTTTGTCAATGGACAGCTCAATGATTTCATTACTCATTACTGAATTAAGCACACTGCCACCTAAATGTTCCCATTAGGGGAGACTGCCTTAGCCAGCAGCGAGAAAACACATTCAAGGCTTTGTTAAGCATGATACCATAAGCACTCAGAACAGCAGATAGAGTAACTTATTAAAGCAATTACTTTCATGCCAAGTATTTGAACTAACTCATGCACTTGTAGAAACTGGTTTAATTAGACTAACAGTGAAACACGCAGACACAAATATTTACAAATTGTGGATAAACAAAATGATGCATCACAGGGTATTTAAAGCAGTAATATCATGAAAGTCATATGTAAAACACGAAAAAGTAGTAAAAAAAACGAACTCACTCAAAGATACTGTCAGATAGCCGGAGTTAATCTACATTTACTTCACTTACGTTTTCTGTAGTTCCAGTAATTACATGTAATCCATCATAAGTTGATTTGATGTACATTCCCTAAATGTAAGTAGAAAATGAAAAACAAGTTTAAAGGCAAACAACCAACATTAACTTATCTGATTAAACAACTGTTGGCAATAGACTCAAAACATTATTAAGACAATTCACATATTTTCCCTAGAAAAGTGTGTGGTCTAATATTACAACATTCTAAACCTCTTCACAGATCGCTTTGACTGTAATTAATTATAATAGAATAGAATGACTTCAAACACCTAATATGTGGAAGACAATATAGAAACATCATCTGGTTCATAATACCAAACACTGTTGGGTTTGCTGCCTTGTCTGCCTTTTGCCTTGAACAAAAACTTCATTTCCTTATTGCCCAGTCTGCACTAGAGAATTACAGGTTTTCCTAGATGGCCACTAGCTCTCTCCATATGAAGCACACTTACACAGCTGGGCTACAAATATTGCCTACATGTTCTTTTACAATTTCCCTTGGCAAGTCAGTATACAGACGGCCTTGTAACCCCAGCGCTTACATCAGCAATAAGAGCTCCAGCAGAACTAAGTATCTGTGGCTCTAAATGTTAAAGTTGAGTGTGAAAGCAAGGACAAACTCAGATGAAGTGGGTGTTGACCATATGAACACCAAATGAAAAAAAATTCACCAACAGGCTATTGCTAATTATCTAGCTTTCCCCACAAGAGGTGACCAGTACATTCATGAACAAGTAAGTTTCTACTTCTCCTGTCTACATGTGTTGTTAGAAGCACCCACTGAGCTGTAAAGAACTGGATGTTATTCAGGAGTTGTAGGCAGCTTATCTGCCTCAAGTTGCCACACTTGCTGAGAAGGAAAAAATACAAGATGGTTTGGGTTTTTTTGCCCCTTCCTCTCCAGACAATTCCCTTCCGTGTTTGCCTGTTAGTATCCCATTGTGCTCACCTACCTCCTCATTTCTTACTTAGTCCAAGATAGGCTGATTCTGCTTCACTGTAGCTTGTGCATTAACAAAGAGGTCCCCATAATTTCAAGAATGCATGACTGATTCTAATGAGTCTAATTCAGTGGCCTAGGTAAAATTGCATAGCAGAGTAACACAGTAAAGCTTCCTATAAAGGTGTTCATCTCTTCTGCCTTCGGGGCTGGGGTGGAGGCAATACAAATGCACTTAAGAACTTAAAATTCCCTCCAACTCATTCTAACGTGCCTGTTCCCCAGCCAGAAAACTCACCGAGGTTTCAAAGTCAGTTTCTCATAACCAGCACTCAGCTAAGCAGCATCCATTGAATGATCAAGATTCAGTAATGTTACACAGCCACTGAACTTTTAAAAGGATTTCTCATACTCCTGCTAGCCTGAAAAATCCTCACATCATTCTCAATCTTGCTATAAACAAACATAAAATGTGCCTTTAAAAACATAAGCGTAATGTCTCATCACCTTCTCCATCCTCCAACCCTGCTATTAAAACAGCTGGTAAGGCAATCTGCAAAAATAAAATGACTGATTTCACAAGCACCAGTAAATTCCTCAGTATCCTGGTGAAGGTACAAATCTGAAGCAATTTAGCATAAAAAAAATACTTGGGATGAAACCTATTAATGTGTATACCAATCTCTGGCAGCCACTCCAGCACACTACCTGACAATTAACCTTCGGAGTTCCTCACCATGCCTCTTTCTGTTTCCCATAGGATATTACTGTTTTGAAATATCTTGCTATACACCCATACACAGTGATCATAAGAATACCTATTAAGCACTGGGATCATCAGGACATTCCAGGATTGGTTCTTACCAGGCCTTCCCCAGGCTTAATGTTAGTTAAATGAACCTCCTCTAGACATGCACACTGGCTCATCAATGGATCTGTAGTTGATCGGATAGCTTTATCACAAATGCCATTTAAAGTCTTGGCCTACAATGAGAACATACAGAAACAGTTACAAAATTTCTCTCCCGGCTTCTTCCTCTTTCAGTTTTCAAGAAGAGAAAGGAAACGAGTTCTGGAACTTGGTCGACTAATAAGTCATAGTTAAGAATCATCCAAATAGAAGATTCGTTTGTACAGATATATTCTACAGCATGTTTATCTTTTTACTGTAACATAGTACAACCAAAGCATTTCCACTGGTGCCACCTCATCACTGCTAACAGATGCCAACACATCTTCAGTTAAAAAAAAATATATATATATATACAAATAATAGCAAAAACTTGTGTTTGGAGTTTGCTTGCTTTAACCAAAATATAACCCATTAAAATACTGAAACATTTTAATGAATCTTTGTGGGAACAATTGACAGGTTTTCGTTCTGTTGTTTGTTTCTGCTGTGAGAATAAAATTGGCCATGCGTCAGAAAAAGTGACCACCAACTTAAAAATTGGCCACCAACTTAAATGCACAAAGTTTTATAGTACAAGGCAGGACATCCAGCACTTAAGCCTTTCAGCATTACTTCTCTCCACCATGCCTCTGAACTGACCTCCTGTGGAATGCTTATGCAGGCAAGGTTCATATTTCCTTTTGACCAAAACATAACTGAACCTAAGCCAACATTGTAATGAAAGGCAAATTCTGACCTTGTATGTGTGTCAGTAAAGTCAGAGGCAGAACAGTTTTGTCTTGTACAACTTGTAACTAGCAAAACTGCTAATTAATAAAAAAAAAAAGTCATAGCCCAAATATCTGGGCTTTCCCTACACTCAGAAATTTCCTTAATACCCCACAGTGTGGTTTGGGTTAACTGAAACAATACTGAAACTTAAAGTAGGTTACAACAGCTTAAAGGTGAGGGGAAAGAGGATTAGTACACAGTACACAATTTGGAAACCAGCAGGGTAAACCATCTTTCACAGGGGCTTTGAATCCTTCAGAGTAGACATATAATTACAGGACAGGGGGAGCTGCCTTGTAGGAAGACATTGGTTTGGATTACAATGGCCCCTGGAAACAATAGTTCCAACATTTTTTCTTTTGTTTTACATCAGATTTATAGAGCAGCAATAAAATAAACCAAAACAATGCCTAAGTGTGAATGCGAGGAACTGCTCAAACAAGGGAACTTCAAATAACAATATCTACTCCCAGAGTGGTTGTGCACAAATGGAAAAAGAAAGATGCAAAAAAACTCTTTTACGTGGTTGCATTATTTATACGACAATTATTTTTAGTTATTGTGCTACTAAATTCCTAAGCATCTATGAGCTAGCGGAAGGCCTTATCAAAGAGCGCAGCCTGGCTCATGTCAAAAGCAGGAAGCGATGATTAACTGTTACAAAATATAAAAAGCATTCCATTACGCTCCTCGTTTGGTCACAAGGCTGTTTCAAACAAACCTGAAAACTCTAACTCAAGCACAATCAGAGACAGAACTTTAGTTCTGTGGCAGGGCAGTTATTTTTTGTGAAGAAGTTTAATAAGCCATAGTGCATTTAGGGCTTTCATAAACAGACCATCACAGGCGTACTTGGTTTGTTTGGGCCACTATTCTTTTACAGTACTACCCCTCACAAGAAAATCTGAGATCTAAATTATCTTAATATATATATATATTTATATAAAAATAGCTCTGCAACGAAACTTTAATGAATACTTTACTCTGTGCTATTACACACACTACCAGTCTGTTCAAACTTCATTAGTTTCCTCTAGAGCAAAGAATATTCACAAAATGGCCCATAACAATGTTTACTTGCATGATACATCTGTATGTGTGGGACTGGAAAGCTGTTGTCAGTACAGAGTAGAAGCCACCAAAATAAATGTGAATGCAGGCAGCTGAGTTTCAACAGAAACATGTACTTACTACAGTCTGAACTTTATCTTCCATGTCAGCCACAGCGCAGTCCTAAAACCAAAACAAGAACAAATGGCCTACATTAACCAATAAACACGTAAACACATTTCTGAAAACTCTGCATAACCGCCACTTTAACCTCTACCTGGAATAGAGTTATTCATGCTGCAGGGGATTAATCAGATTAGTTTCACCCAGTAGGGCTCAAATGTACTGTTAAACAACTATTTTCTGGCCCTGGCAGAAAGCAATAATAAACCTTGAAAGCTAAGAGAACATGGGATTCAATTACAGCCAACAGACTTTTCCAGAAAACCAGGACCCTGCACAATAAAACTAGACCCTCAGGAGGCTGGGCACATGAGCTTGCCATACTCTGATAAACACCAATTTAAGAGCTGCTGTGTCCCAGGCACCAAAATTGATCCAAAACATCTATTTTGTTAAAAAGTGATTTTTTTTAAATATGCTATTGATGACATTCCTGAGGGCCAGAGGACTGCACAGAAAGCATTATTTACACAGCCCAGGTACGAGTCTTTGAAGTGAAACAAGTTTATGTAACAAGCTACAGAAGTCATAATTTTCTGCAGGAAGAGCTAGAGAATGTTAACAGATTCTCAGATTCGTAAGTTAAAACGGCAAGTAAATAATGAAACAAGCTCTACAGTATCTCTAAGGAGAAACCCCCAAACTCCAAGCATTTAAACAAGCTTAAAATCCAAGATACTTGCCCTTGATATCTATTCTGGGTTTGCATGGCAAGGTTTTGGTAGCAGTGGAGCTACAGGGTGGCTTCTGTGTGAAGCCTGCCCTGTCTGATGGAGCCTAAATCACCTAAAGATTTTTCAGCTGTCTCTCCTTTTTCCACACCAGTGCATTCCTTCAGACTATTTCCAATGTATCTGCAGTGTCCCAGTACAAAATTGCATTGATTCTTCTCCCATTAATGTTTTTGCTCATATGCACCAATCCTGTACTTTACTATAGCTCATACCAAGTTGGCAGAGAAGTACTCTGACAGTTTTTAAAAGGTAGGGTTGTATTTGCCAACTTCCATTCCCCTGCCGTCAAAGGCTGATTTAACTGAAAGATTAGACACCATTTTTAGTAGTTTTATTAACACAGTTCAGCAATCTCATATCTCAGTTCCTGTAGCACTCTTGGGTGAATACCATCTGCTACTAGAAACACTTACTGCTCTACTTCACAATCTGCAAATCTGTAGCTGTAAATCACTGACTTTCTGCAACTGCACATGCAACACCTAAACAAGAAGGGCATTCAGCAGCAAGCCAAACTTGTGCTTCTTTGAACTTACACTGTACTATCCAGACACTGCCCTTTCACAATGGTCCAACTGATAAAATTGGGTGTTATCATGGCTTGACAACTCACAGGATGTTTCTATCCTTTGACATCACCGCCTCAAAACTGGAAAAGAACCACCCATGTCACAGGACATGGTCCTTTGGAGTTCAAACAATATATAGCCACTAATGTACTATGACAAGTAGTACATTAGACTAATGACTACGAGCAAGTTGGGCTGGAACTGAAGTGTGCACACAGTGCTTCACACCCAAAGCAGCAGATTGCTGTCAGAACATGTTCAAAAACGTGCAGTATTACTCAGGGAGCAAAATTACATAATTTGCCAAGACTGTCACAGTTGCTATATGTCCTTTTAGCTGTTAACAACATAAGCACCCTTCACAGAACTGATAAATGGAGTTTTGAAACAAAACTGTGGTCTCGCACTACTGGTGGAAGAAGCCAGGCTAGCAGGGTTTGAACTGCAAAGGTGGCAGCTCCTTCCCTTACTTGCATCATTTTCCATCTGATGGATAAAACACTCTGTACAGGACAACACTTAGGGAGTCTGTTTTTCAACATGTTCAGAACTTGAAAATCTTTAAACATAGACCAACTGTTTTGAAAACTAAACCTCTTCCCATTAAAGCTCAAGAAAGTGAGTAGCCTTTAAACCACAGTCACTAAGACACAGCCAGCAATAGCAAAATTGGAAATTGAGTTGGGGGACAACACACAACTGAAACTGACCTTCATGGACCTTTCAAGTAAGCTGTCATTTCCAGATCTGCCTTCCAATTAGGACCCTGCACACAGTGAGAACATTACTTCCCTAACCCCCCCCCCCCCCTTCCTTCCCTTTTGGAAAGCAAAGTGGAAAAGAAACCAGCTGACCTTCTGAACAGTAGTAGTGAGATCCAAGCAGAGCTGAATGATTCTGTTCTTCATTGATGAAAAGTCAGCAATACCCGTAAATGGGGTCCTGCAAGAGAAAATTCCCTTTAGATAAAAGGGACCTGTCTTCTCCCACCCTACCTTACCAGTGAGGAATAGCAAACAAGAGCAAGCATTACAATTCTGACATCCATGCAAGTTTGAGGATACAGTTTTATAATACAAGTATTCCTGCGTATTCCTGACTGCATAGTCCTGCTCCGCCCTTGCACCAAAATTGGTGAATGTCTTTGATGAGCAAGTTCAGAAAGCAAAACCAGAAGAAAAGGTCCATTTTCCAAACTACAGTTCTCTCAGCTGTGCGCTCATGTCAGATCACACTGACTGTTCTAAAAATCACACTCCTGGGCCTGCCAGTGAGTAGACATCTAACTCCCACATCTATGATTACTAAACCCCGGGGGGGGGAATCTCTAAATGGAAAAAAGAAAAAAAAATGGATTTTCATATTGAGCCTCACTGTACCTCTGTGTGTAAATCTTGGAAAAGGATCATTATAGGCAGAGCAGCTTTAGAGCCTATAGAATCTCACCTCAGACCTTCCAGGCAGCTGAAAGAGCGAGAAGGGGGGTTGAGAAGCAACCCCAAACATCTTGCTGACTGAGATGCAGAAGAAATTTAGGGCAAGCTACCAGCAACAGGGTAAGAGGAGAGGATCAAGTGAGAAGCACACTGTTAACATCACTGCCTGGACACAGAGCCAACTGCTAGGTGAAGGGCAGGGATACTAAAGGATAAAAGGGCTCCTTGTTGCGGTCCCCATGAAGTTTTCCTCCTAACCCTTCTCTTTGGAAAAGCTGGCAAGGGTCTTGAGAATTTACATTCATCTGCTATCATGGACAGCATCCCTGCCAGCAAGCAATGGCTCTAGTGCCTGTTTGCTTCCTCTGCAGCTGTCACAGAACAACTCTGGCTCTTGTCAGGGGAAACAAACCCCACACAAACACCAAATTGAACAAAGAAATAATTAAAACACACATCCATCCCAATTCCTGTCCTACCCCTCAAGAAAAAAATATGGCAGAGGGTGTCTGTCAAATCACAGAGCTAAGGCCACAATTTGAACAGAACACTAACAATTTTTTTACAAAAGGACCTGGCAATGGCAAGTAATTTAGAAGGTAGGATGAGGGCAGGGGAAATCACATGTGTGAAAAACTGACCTGAACAGGAAGGCTCCTATTTTTATGAATACCGGTTTGGGTACAATGTTAGCAGTTTCATTGGTTTTAGTAAGACTGGAAGCACAAAAGTAAATACCCTAGATTAAATTTGTCCACTAGAGCCCTTCTGGCAACACCAAAGAAGAGGTGAGATTATAGAGTCACTGACTGGTTTGGCCTGGAAGAGACCTTAAATATTACCTAGTTCCAACCCCCCTGCCATAGACAGGGACACCTTCCACTAGACCAGGTTGCTCAAAGCCGCATCCAACATGGCCTTGAACACTTCCAGAGATGAAGCGGCCACAGCTTCTCTGGGCAGCACCTTTCAGTGTCTCACCACAACAGAATGTCTGGAGTAGAAATTTAAAGATGCTACCTCTAGTTCTCTCCATATAATATAACACCATAATTGCATACAGATCTTCACACCCAAAGCATCTAGAAACTGCTCTACAAGGAGAAGCAAGTCATTATGGCAGTAAAATCAAAATATAAAGATTCTATTCTTACCTGTCCAACCATGCAAGCAAGGCTTTGGCAGCACCAATAAGCTCTACCACAGAAGTAAGGAATTCATTGGGGGGCTTGCGAGAGGTGTTTCCATCATAATTTGAGTTTTTCCTACGGCTGCTGATGTAATTTTGCAGATTGTTGGATGATGCTCGCAGTTTGAGAACCAGATTCTTCATATTGTCTGTTTCAAGGCCATAGTTCTGCAAGGAATAATACTGAGCTTGATAAATCTCCTTATTGAGCCCTCCTTTATATTATACTGCAAGTTACAAACTTATGTGGGATGAAAGTTCTGAGGATGGGGGATCTTTTTTCCTTTTTTTCCTCAAAAATGCCTTCTAAGACTTTTCTACATGACAGCCACTTAAGAATAGTTTTGTACATGCCAAACCCCTTCAGTTTCTGACATTAATGAGATTTGAGAACACTTTTCAGTCAGAATGAAGTTGCAGTCTCCTACCAGAGGGCATTTACCTTTCAAAACGTGGTTGGAATAACATGATTGTGTTGCTTCTCTTTTTGCTAAAGGAAAGCAAATGCTGTTTTTTCTTAAAATATTTTCTATACTGTGGTACATAAACACTGGAATAACATTTCATTCACAACTAAATATAAACAATCTGGCAAGAGATAAAAACATCAACAGGATGCAAACGTAATTTCACAGTCACAAGCTTGCATAAATATTTGGATCACAAGTTTTCAGTAACTGTGCTCCTTGATTACAGCAGTGCAATGATTGGCAAGTTTGAGGACTGTGTTAACTCTATATATAGTAATTAAAACCATCCTTCAATGTTGTATTTTTCATTCAACAGCACCTTTATAAATATTTGAAACCTAAAAAAACCTGTAAGTACTGCCTGCAGCTTCAACTTTGCAAATTCAAATACAACCAAACCACAATCCCCAGGATTAAAACCCAATTGGTTTTATGTAACACATTGATCATCTCATGCTAGACATGTCAGAGACGCTACATCTGTTCTAACGACAACTTAATTTTGTTATCAAGATTATCTTCTTTGTCCTGTCAGCTTGCAAATGTGTGAATTAAGTAGCAACATGTTGCTATGTTCATTTTTGAGTTATCCCACCTTGCAAAACCTCTGTGGACATTTTATCAAAGTCTCAGAAAATGCTTAGTTCTGAGAGTGAAAATCACCACCCAAAAATACAAGACAACCATGCCTTTCTCTATTCTCTTGCTCCTACAGACTCTTACTACCAACCTCGAAGTTCCATAACTTAGTCAGGTATTATACTCTTTCTCCTTTCCTTCTTAAAAAACTAAAGCAACTAAAGCAAATCTTAATTCCATTCAGTTCCAAGCTTCCAGGGGTTTCTGATGCCTCCACTCACAATCACAGCATCACCTGTCTGAATGGGAGCTAGGGAGGTTTCAGTCCAACCTCCTGCTCACAGCAGGCTCAGCTGTGAGCTCAAACCAGCTTGTTCCAGTCAGGTCTTGAAAACCTCAAAGGATGGAGACTGCAGAACCCTTCTGGGCAACCTGATCCATCATCTGATTTTACCTAGAGTAAAAAAGGGTTTCCTTACATCCAGCCTGAACCTCTGATTTCAACTTCTGCCCAAAGTCCTTCATCCTCTCGCCATGCAACACCATGAACAGCCCAGCTCTGTCATCCTGTCAACTGTGCTCCCCATCACAGTATGTGCTGGGAATTTGCTGTTAAGGTCTCCCTGAAACCTTCTCTTCCACATGCTAAAGAAGTTCCAGGCCCTCAGCCTCTCCTCATGGGTGAGTAACCCCAGCCCTGACCACCCTGGTAGCCCTCCACTGAGACTGCACTAGCTTGTCTACCTCTTTCCTGTACTTGGGAGAAGGGTCATACATAGACTAATGAGTGCCAGGTAAAGGGTGATGATCACTTCCCTCCCTCTTCCATTAATGCAATCCAAGATGCTGCTGACCGCCTTGCTGCCGGGGCACACTGCTGTCTTGTGGCTCCATTCCCTCCAGTCAGGCACCCATAAAACCTGCTCTTAGACTAAGTCATTTACAAAAGACAAAACAGAGCCCTCATCCTAAAGAAACCCACCAGTGTAAGGAGAGGTTTCAGCTATTCAGCTACCTGCAAAAAAAATCCACCAGCTCCTATGGATAAAATCCAGGGGGTGTAAGTTACACAAATGCCTGCCCTCCTGCCCCAAGCAGGCTTGGCAAGGAAGCACCCTTAAAGTGCAGCCAGGAACAGGGGTCGAGAGGATACATCCAATTTAAAAAAATGCCACTGCTGCAACAGCAAAGGATATCCTTAAATTTTCCAGGATCACAGAGAGGGAAAGATTTGGATTACTAAACGATATCAAAGTACTTGCATACTGTCATGTGTGACCTTATCACCTTTTAATTAAAACAGAGGAAAAAAAACCCCACCACTCACACACAAGACCATCATTCAGGTGTATCTCTTACAGTTACTTTTCTCCTCTTCACAGGACACTGCATATTAATCTATTTTTTGAGGAATACTTTTTCACCAACAGGACTGGATGTGGGGTAAGTTCCTGTGACCACAAAAGTTTGAAAGTAGCCATGTGCCAGAAATCTCACCCTTTAGCAAGGGAATTAGAGGATGCTGATCCCCCTTCCTTCCATAAAGGGACAGAAAACACAACATATTCTGTTTTCTGTACAGTGGTATTGCCACCTAATGACTCCCATCAGAACTTGAGAGACTCTCGATATATTTAAGTATCTTCAGGTCTTTCTTTCTGTCATTCAGATGCAGAAGTTGTGCCCAGCACCTGTGGGTGTCTGCAATTAGAGATGGCACCAGCATTTAAATGGACATATGTTAATATACCACATCAGATTTTGGCTTTGGCCCTAAACCATTCACATTCTCCTTACCATAACACTTTCTCCTTATTTATACAGCAGGTCAAAATGGTGTGACTTTTCCAGTTCAGCTAGTTTTTTAATAATTCTAGCAAGTAGTTCTGTTTCGAGGTGGACTTCAGCAACACAGATGTTGCCTCTGGAGATACATTGGCTCCAGCTTCAGACTGCAACTGGCCTCCCCAACAGCCTATCAGGAGCACATCACAGCCAAGCTCTCCAGTCACTGCACTAAGCTTTCCTACAGCTTCCCTCAAAGACTTTGCAGAGTGCACTAGACATATCTAAACTGGCAGTCTGTACTCCAGGAAAAGTCCTGGCTAAGCACCATGCCTATCCAGCACAACAGGAAGCACGCAGCTCTTCAGTACAGATGACTGAATTCTTCAACTACAAGATCAGCCCTGAGGAATGAACTTCCCCAGAACAAAGGGTCATCACAACCCGAAACACCTCACTTCCAGAGGCAAGCCAGTCTTCTAACCTGTTTGAAGTAATACATAGAAAGCATTATGCCTCTTCACCAGATACAGCAATATTTCCATGCAAATTGACACTATCTGAAACATCTCACGTTACTTATTCCTGCTCCTTCCCTTGCAGTGTCCAGTTTGTTGGGAAGGCTGGTTTAGGGAACTAAACCATTCAAAAACATCTATTCCCTTTTTTACTGTAGCGTGCTCTCACCTGGTTTAGGTCCCTGAAATAGCTCACTTCAGGGTCAGGTAAGTGCAAGCACAAAAGATCCCTAATAGAAGGCAGCAGCTGACTTGGATTAATTTGACTTGTCATGGAGCAGTAGCCCCGGATCAGGACGGATAGGAATGCTGATAGCACAGCAGCATACTAAGCAGCCTTCTCAGTAGCACACACTTGAAGCGCAGAACTTAGAGGACTTTTTTAAAATACTTCTAGAGGACTGAGGCTACAATATTTAACAGCCTATTTAAGCAACCAAAAGGTTTTAGATGTTGCTCATGAACTGAAGAACACATTATGTTTTCATGTCACTCCCAATTTCAAGCTTCAAAGTTGCTTTCATCAAAACATTGGCCAGTGGTCAGGAGCACCTTACATCAAACATTCCCAGCTTGTTACTCATTAACCTGCAGAGCCACATGCGGGGCTGGGAGGGAGAGACAGCATGTACACATGCACAGGGGAGCACAGGCACACAAGAGCATGCTCTTTCTGAACACCATTGCATTTAATGAGAAAAAGCACTGACCAAATAATTGCTTAAGGTCAGGCAGCCAACATTTTAAATAAATAAATAAATAAATAAATAGCGTGGCTAACTGAAGTCAAAAGAGCACAGCAGTTGTGACAAGGCTCTACTACTGCCCAGGGGCAACATCCCCTTCCCCTTTCACAGCCATGTGCATGTGCCACAGTGCAATGAGCTGGATCTGCTGGCTGACCCACCTGACAACCAGCTCTGGGGGAAGGAAAAATGAAGAACATACTGAATGCCTGCTCAAAAGCTGATCTGTCTGATTGCATGCCTTTATTATAAACACTAGAGTTAACATAAGGCACTGTCACAGTCACCCAGTTCTTGCTCTTTCCCCTTTTAACAGAAATGCATTCTAAAGAATCCTTTGGAGTCCCAAACTGCCTAATAAATATCACTAAGTTTAAAGCCAAGACATCTAGAAAACTGAAATATTATGAGGTGGTGCAGAGATGTGGTTCTTCTGACAATGATTAGCCACTAATAAGTTTTCATGCATGCATGTTCTAGTTTATGTTTTGAAGATTTTTTTTGTTGTTCTGTCAGCATATTTGCAGGGCATTACTGCCAGTGAAATTATCAAAAATACAACACTAAAAATTGTTTTTTTTTGGTTGGGGGGGGTGGTGGTGTTGGTTTGGGGTTTGTTGTTGTTTTGTTCTTGGGCTTGGGGGGGTTTCTTTCTTTTTTTTTTGTTTGTTTTTGTTTATAAGACTGCTTAAAACTGGTATCTCTTCATTCTAACCTCAAGAAAAATGAGATGCTTTTATGCTTCCAAACTCTTCCATCATACAGTGTCGATAAAGATTCACAACCCTAATCCAAAAAACACATTAAAAGGGAAAATATTTGCATATAGTTTCCCGTTAATGTTTGCATTGTTTTATATTTATTAAGCCCAAACAGGCAAGACTACTCATCAGGGAATAATAAGCATCCAGTTTTCACCACCGCTCTAGATGCTTCTTGTCCCAGTTTTTGGCTGAGAAAGCTTATTTTCTGGATCCCTGCTGCTGCTTTTGTGATTTTGCATGAGTTTAATAAGCATACTTATGTATGTTTGTTTCCCCTTCCCCAAATATTTCAGTCAACTAAGAAATGTCTTCCTCCCACCCTTTTTCTCCCCCAAGCAAATATTGTCAATAAAAAGATGGAGGTCCTCAAGTTGATGTTTCTTTTTACTCTCTGAGGAATTCAGTTTCTTTGATACATCCTCTAAATTCCTTAAATAAGCCTTCAACACCTGTTCAGAACCAGCACAAGACCAACAGACACGTGCGTTCACATGAAGTCTTCACTTTTTATCCCTGTCCACGTACTATCCCACTGCCTCTTCAGCTACAGCTTTGTTGCATATGCAGCCACTACTATGAGGAGATGAGCGAACACTACCTCATCAACCAAAGCAGCAGAGAAAAATGCATTAATTTCTCTTTCAGCTATCCTGGCTCAAGAGTTTACTTACTAGAGCACAAGACAGCATAACTGCAGACTATTTTCAGCTTGGCACAGTAACTGCCAAAAAATAATAATAATAAAAATTTTAAAAAACAAGTATTTGGTGGTTTTTCTCCAGGAAAGGAGAACCTTCACACTGTATTTTTACAGCTGATCTACTGAGGCTGGGAAAAAGGTCTGTATGGTCAATGCTTGAAAAGAGTTACTGCAGGAGAAAGGTGTTCCAAGACTGCTGCTTCACTGCATTTAGAGCTGTAACTGTTCTTGTTGTGTAAGGGAACCAAAGCACTGATCTGAAGGAAGTTCAGCTGGGAAACTGCCAAGGCAAAACTAGATAAAAAGGGAAATTCTTCTTACGGACTCCATGACTGGAGAACCAGAAAAATAAATCCCCAAAATAGTTCCTCTGCTTTCAAGGCTCCAAAATGTAGGCAAATGCTACCATATACACACACACACATAAAAATAACCCCACCTAATTATGTCAATACACACACCCATTTTCAAAGAACTAATACAGATGGAACAGGGAAGCCTTTGCTCCCTCACACAGAGACAGCAAAGTAAGAAATTGGCTGTCATTAGACCTTGAAACACACCATCCCCTCAGCAACAATATCAACAGTGATTTTATAATAACAATCCCAAAAACTCAAGGGAAGGGGCATCAAGAAGATGAAAAAGGGCAGGTCTAACACACAGAAATTCTTCCTCCACCTCTTAATAGAGAACAAGGACATTGCAGCTGCAATACGTGAATTCTGTCTAATACATTAACTTGAGCTGCATTTCACAAAGGATCTCCAGAAATGAGTGTGAGGTCAGAACTTTTGTCTAAAAAGGAAATTGGAAGGAAATTGTAGGAGATAAAACACAGCTTTAGGTTCTGGCATTCATCCAGCTTTGTTCATTTTATGCTAATATTTTTAAAAGTCAGAGAAAAAAGTGCCTTCGGGGGCACTTGCCACATCCATTACTTGAGTCAGGACTGTATACAGCACAGTACAGATCCCCTCAGCTGCCTGATGGATGATTATTCCTTCCCACAACATGAACTGCATTTCAGGCTAACTCCATTCTTCTGTTAGATTTTCAAGTTAAATGGTAAAATTGTTTTATAGATTAAATATTGAAAGGAAATACAATGTTTTTCAAATATAAGAGAAACTCCTTGGGAAACATTTCAGATTGTATGAAGCAATTTCCTTAAATACACTCCTTTCAGGTTTTCCAATTTTTTCCTGGTTATGGAGTATAAATGATCCCTGTAGCACCTCTGCAGCAAATAAAGCACATATTACAAAGGCAATAAAGACTCTCCATTTTAAGAAGAGGATGCTGAGGCACTGCAGGTCTTGCCTAATGAAGGGCAAGCAGGCCAGTGCTGGCCAAGGAATCAACAAGCAGCCTTTCCCACCCTTCTCGCTGATGTAATCATATATACCTCTGGCTCTCATTTGCTGTGTTACATCAAACATATCTTCAAGACTGTCTCCAAACTACAGCTTTTAAATAAAGCCTGCACTAGCAAAACAATCTGAAATGTATTTGTTCTTTCCAGAGTGTTTGTTTTAAAAGTATCTGTGCGGTTATATATCAGGAGTAAGACAGAGGAACAGTTTAACTTCTGAATCCAATGGGAGTTGAACTCATTACAACTGTAACCGAGTTAGTAAAACATCCCTCATCTCACACATTTTCTTCGCTTTGTATGTACATTACAGAATTGTCCTAAATCCATTTCAACTGATACAAGGAATCATTAACAGCTGTCATTTCAACAGTATATATTCCATTTTCTTTGACAAATTCACTCTACTCAAGAGAAATTTTAATCACTCTGTTCACTAACAGAAGCCAGAAGATCTAACAATGCTACTCAGATAACTTCTTTCTTTAGAAGAGCAACCAAATTAATTAGCATTGCCTCTTATGAGGAAAAAGTTAAAAGAGCTATTAACATAAAGCTCGTGAGAATTAAACAAATTCTTAATTTTTTCTTTTACCATGATGTGTAACAGAAAGCAAAAGACAAGTATTCCAGTTTTATCAGACTCGCCTTTGTTATTCACCCAAAAGAGCTCTTTAAGAAATTCTTTGCATATCTGTTCACCACTTAACTAACCAGGGCACACAGGAGATCCACAGCCTCCAGAACCAGTTCCTGGTGTCCAATTCGTGAGATGCCCAAGTCTTCAAGGTCCTGGTGAGAAATCTGTAACAGCTGTTCACCATTTATCTTCTCCCGTTCAAATTTATGGACATACTGCTGCAGGCAATCATCCAGGCCTACCAAAACACAAAAGAGGGAAGGAGATGTGATTACAGATTTGTCTTTTTTTTTCTAATTGTGAGAGAGGGGGAAGGAAACAACACCAAATCGCAACCCCACAAAAACAAAAACAAATCCTGTGAAAGACACAGATTGCAAGTTCATATAATATGTTATGTCAAATGATGAAATAAACTTGCAGTGCAATTGAAGTTGTACCACGGGCAGAACAAAGCACTCAGGTTATGTGGATCTTTGGGTCACTCAAGTCAATGCACAACCTGCCTGATCCTTCTGGATCAATGTTATCAGGTAAGAATGTATTTTTGGTTTCTGCATAGAATAACCCAAAACCCTGAAGGGCAAGCAAAGCAACAACAGCAAAAAAAATGCAACAGGGCAAGGCAAGAACAAAGATCTTGCTCAAATTCTAGTTGGATAAGTAAACAAACGAAAGCACAAAACTCCAGTTCTCCATCCACTTATACATAAAAGGGCTGAATGAATGATGAGAGGAAAATAGAACAATCAAAGCCAAAGCCATCAAAATGATGTTTGGCTCAAGTCTCATTAGTCTCATGATTTACAAGAGTCCACAGCTTCCTGAATCAGCCATTCCTCCTTCCCCTCACTAAGGATTAATGGCACTCACTAATAAGAAATCCTATTCACTTTTGTATCTATGAAGTATTTTTAAAACAGTTTAGAGTATTTTGTCCCAGCAATATCCCTCAAATCCTCCCTTTAAATTGTGATTCTATAATCCTGTTCTCTACGGTATCCTCTTCCCAGTGATTAAAGAAAAGATTTCTGGTTTTCGTTTTGTTTTATTTAACTAAGCTTCATGTGTTAATCATGTTTTTTTTGTGTATTCTTATTTCCTCTGGTCTTAAAGATCCTGTGAACAGCAACAATCTAGGAAAAACAAACTCTGGATGGATGTGTTATTTTAAAGATGATGCAGAGCTCTTGATGCCCTGCTCCATTTCAACATCTTAGCTTGAGCAAGAGGAACAGATCCAATTAGGCCTGTTTTATAGAAATACACTGTAAATAGCTGACAAGCAAAAATTCAGATTACACATTCAGCATCTACTTTGTAGCATTCACAATAGTTATGTTTGCTTGACCATTCAGTTCTTCAAAAATTGAACCTTTAGCTGTATAAAAGGATGTTTATCCATGGCGCTGTCTCAAAAGGAAGCCACTGACATGGACAGGATGTTGAATTGTGCAGATGAGAAACATGAACAGCATCCTGATTTACAAGGAAATTAGAGCCAGAAGACCAGCAGACCAGCACCCAATTCCACTTATGTAGCCACAGTAGCAGCCTGGAAAATAAGCACTCCCTGCACACCCTACTGCCAAGAAAACACTCAAGACAAATCACAAGGGAGTTCCAGAAGTCACGTGAAATAATCTCGTTTCATAACAGCAGCACAAGCAGTCACCACTGCCTTGCACTGTCTGGTCCCAGCAGATCTGCAGATTAAGGATTTTCAAAGCCACAGGCTTAGTTAACACATCACTTGCCTTTTAACTCTCACTCAGAAATTAATAAAAACAGGCACCCTGACACTTAACAGTCACCCCTTTACATGACTCGGGCAAGCATAATTATTACAGTAGATCAAAATCTGGCTGAACAAGCTTGACTTGTCCACATGCAGAGCTACTAGTGTGCACAGCTTGATTTTCAAGCATAATTATGAATGGGAAAACCTGCATGCAAGATGAGCAGAGTCTCCCAGGGCTACAGTTGTTTGGGGTTCACTCTTGTTTCTTCCCATCTGTCTTGGCAAGGCCACATAAATTTTGAAAATTGAGCCCAGTGTTCTCTTTCCCACAGGCACCAAGTCCCCCCTTAGGCTATACAAACTCTTTTCCCAGGAAAAATAATAAAAAGATCTGGCCTTCATTATTTAACAATTTATTTTTTCAAAACAAATTCTCAACCAGGGCTGACATACAGTGAACATATTTGGCATTCCTAATTTTTATTGCTGTCTTGCAGACCACTGTTTCCCACCATTTGCCACTGTAAGCCCATAGTTTCCATTAAGAATAACACAAACACCTAAAATAAAACACTTTATTCAGCATGCAATGAAGTTCTCTGTTTTAAGGTTTTCTGGATGCAGTGTTGCTTTTGCCTACTATCCTTTCTGTGTATTGACTCAACTTTCTAGATCCTCATTCTATGCTAAAACATGAGACTCAGAGTTATATTACACACACACCCCCAAGAAATACAAGTACAGCTTTCAGCTTGCTTTTCTGAATTCATGCTTGCCTGCTCCTTGAAAGTCTATTACAACTTGAACAGCTACCTCAAATATTTTTAATGAGACCTTAAAAACAATACTTCTGCAATCACACCGTATGACTGTATTTTATAAAATAAAATATCATAAAAATCACACAAATGTTAATTCAAAACAGCCAACACAGATGCACAGCAGCTCAGCTAGAGATGTATTAAAATGACCAAAACTATGCAAAGAAGGAAGTGAGGACAGACCCACACATTCATAGCAAGCATTCACTAATGGTTTAAGATGAGCTTACTAACATTAGTGTTATTATTTTTTACAAGGAAACATATGGAAAAACCTTAAACATTTTAATTGAGATTGTAACCACGTGTATGGTCTATTGTTTAATTTTCTCTCATATCAACTAATGGTTAAACACCATATACAAACCAGAAAATTCCTATTTTGTCAAGAAAGAAAAAGGGAAGAAAAAAACCCTCATAAATCAGTTCAATAAACTAAACAAAATAATGCTTACGTTTTTGAAGTCATTATTCAAATGCCACTGGTCTTTTTTTTCCTTCATCAAAACATCTCAGTCCTTTCCATGTATTTTCTCTGAGCTTCAGAGCCTCATGCAGACTTGGTATTGTCCTTTAACAAAATCTGGATATTTTTGAGAAACTCAGATGAATTGACAAGCCTATATTACTCAGAAAGACACTTTCTTACCCGCAGGGTCACTGTCAACAGTGCAATATTCACAGGTTCAAGCAAGAAAAAGAGTTTTCTCTCTCTTATTTTTTTAACACCACAATTAAGACTGACATTGGAAAAGATGTCCATATTTGTCCTTTACCCAAACAGGAGCCCTTCTGAAGTCTGATCTATTAATTTTATGCTCAAAGTATGTTTAAAAAGCAATTGTCTCAACTGCATATGAGAAATAAAACTTGCACATACATCAAAACCATGCACAAAAGATAATCCTCCTTCCTACTTACATAATTTTTCAAGAATGAGGGAAGATGGAAATAGCAATTGTAGAATGTTACTCAAGTTTTACAATGATAGCCGCATTGATTTTTTGGGAAGGGAGGGAGAAAAAATAGTCTAGTTAGTGTTATTCCTATCATGAAAACCCTTCTGAGGAACTGCGGTGAAACAAACAAAACTCCCAAATTTTGGCAGGTGTAGAGATGTGCAATAGATACTAAGAACTGTCTAGACTTTTGTGTCTAAAATAACCTTCCATGACTATGCAAAGCACCCCAGAAGACATTCAATACGTTGCATTCATGCAAAAGCACTAGGAGAGAGCTTACACTTAACAGATTTCCACTGATAATCTTGGAAACAGAGAATGGCTAAGAAAGATATTTTGAATCAGAACTGGGGAGGCAAAAAAACTCTTTGAGGGAATTAAGGGGGAGGCTTGGGTCCAAGCCATAACTATCAGTTTACTATTCAGAGAGAACATTTTTACTGTTGATAGATGTCAGCCATCCAGCAATGACATATCCCAAAGTACTAGAGATGCGTGTTTTATAAGCCGAGTCATTATGTAGCTCCGTGCTTTTTTCTCACTTCTGTGCAGGACATCACCAGGTAATTTACCTACCATAAAACAGTAAAAACAGTTTACTAATGTATTACAGCCACAGGTCCAAAACCAGCTGACTTGCCATCTCTTCTTTCTGCCTACCATCCCACTCTCTCCTCTTGTGAAACCATAGAGTCTATACACTTCAACATGGCAAGGCAGGGAGGGGCCGGAAGCAAGGAAAAGAAAGGAGAGATAAACAGGGCAAGGAACCGAGGAAGGAACATTTAAGGGGAACTGGAAGGTAACAGGGATCATTTTCCTTTAGTTCAGGAACTTGAACAGAGTCTCAGGTTAGCTTGTGAAACATCAAAGCTGTCGTGAGGAAGCAGGAAGAGCACAAGCCACTTGTACAGAAGAACTCATAAGTACAAAACCTCTTCCACATAGCACCACCATAGGGATCATCACTGTCTCAATGAAATACAGCCTTATTTTATGAATATGTACTCATCTCTTCTCTGTTGGGTGTCTCTAATAAACTGCAAGCACCTCATGTCTCGAGGTAGCACCAAGGTTCAATTACAACTCCCATCCACTCAAGGAGCTCCCCTGGACAGCTAGCAAGGTGGGACTGCTGAAGTGTTTTTGCCTTATCACATTAAGAAACACACATTCAAATGTTTCAAGAATCCGACCTTTCTACCTAAGAAAGTCGCTCTAATTCTGGTCTCCCCTTCTGTGTCTATTCAGTCTCCATTTCTAGTCTCCAAAGGCTCCTTGCACACACAAACTTCAATGCATCCCCCTAAGCTTTGAAATATCTATTCTAGGAGAATCTTTGATATACCCTATGATACATGCTACTGTACTATCATTTATATTCAACATTTTATAACTGTTATTGCAATAGATTCCTCCCTTCATTTCCTCCATCTATTTCAGGACTGGAAGAAATTAAAACAAGAACAAGCATGAGGGAATCAAGGCAGCAAATGAACACCAAAAAGAAAATGCTACTTCATAAGTGGGTGAACCAGCACCTAAGAAAGCAAATTAAAGTAGGGGAAAAGGGTCTGCAAGACAGCTGTGAAAAGCTGAAGCATTTCCATCAGACAGGTACAGGGTGAAAAGGAAGAAAATGCAAAGTTCAACAAGAAAAAAAACCAAACATGCAGTTTTCTTTAATACAGAAAGCAGTGGGAAGGTTGTTCTA